GGTTGTAGTTAAAATGACCGTTGTAGTTAGGAGTTTATTATCTGTGATATTTTATTGAGGATGGGTTTTGTATGAAACATCTGTTGAGTAGTTGTTGGGTTAGATCTCTCAGTGTTTTGATGTTTGTGTAGATGTGTGTCTGATGTATATTGTAGTCTGTAATTTTGTTATGACTTAGATGTGTAGGGATGGCTTGGAGACAGAACCAAAACTGTCTGTGATGAAGAGATCAGATTAACTGAACATCTTAAGAAAACTGAGTGTGTTAAACCCAGGTCAATAGTGGGAAGCCATGTTTAACCCCTAGCATTGGGATGGTATGATTTTAAAAACTTTGGAACTGGCACAGAGTTATAAAAGGAAAAAAAGCAGCTCTAAACCCTTTGAGGTTTAGGTAGTAATGTGGGTGGAGTCTAGAAAGAATAGACTCGACCAAGGTAGGAAATGTTGTGTTAAAATCTTTAGGGAATGTATTTTGAGCAATGTTATGGGTAAATGGTTTTTATCTGTTGAAATATATGTGGATGAGTGAGACAATGAGCAACAGTAAACCTGTTGAAGGATTTTAGTGATTGTGTAATGAAAAATGGATAATAGGTTTTGTAGTATGAGGATGAAAAGGCATGACTCTCATAGGGCTGTGTTTTGTTGTAGAGCAAGGATTTTGACAGTCATTAATCAATCAATCAATGATTTATTATGGTCTTTGACCAGCACAGTATAAAATGGGCATCGGTGTGTAAGGAAGGGAATTGTAGTTTTTAAGTAGATCAGGCACAGAGGCAGAATGAAAGCACATTTAAAACATCTTATAATATCTTATAAAAGAGACAAATTAAAAGAATAAAACAGACTAACTGAGCATAAATCAAAAGGTAAGCAAGCATGAGGGGAGGTGTTTGTGTGTGTAATCAGAGTTTAGAGCCTAACCGTGGCTGGGACGGCTTATCTCTCGCTTGTGGAATGTATGTCCCCCCTTCTCTTGGGGTAGCGTGTCTGTCAGCTTGAGTCTCTCTCGCAGAGGGGAGAGATTTCTTGATGGATT